ATTAAAAGAAAAGAACTTGATTCCAATTTTAATTGGAATGTTGAACTACCAGCTGCAAACTACAACTGGTTAGGCATAATAAAAAAATATGTTTGTTTATGGTTACCCGACTGACCCTATATCTAATAGCCAACCCAAATTTTTTTTTCATTGTAAAAATCCATAAGTCACTCATTTGTCGGTTTAACTTTTACATGCATCTTAATCGGTCAAGCGTTTGAATCGAAAGTACTAAAAATAGTTAGTGCAACATGGAATTAAAGAAGAAATACAAGACAGTTTTTTCATTGTGTGGTAGCTGTAAGGCAGTTGGCAAGAAAGATATTGTCTATCGCCTATATGGCAAGCCCAAACAAAAAATAAAACAGCACCACACAATGGTAAAACTGTTTTGTATTTCAACCAATTCATGTGAATTTGTGTATAAAAAAATTCAATAAAATAAAAAATTCCTACCAACCGACCCTATTTCATTTCAGCATGTAACAGTAAGCAAACATATTTTTTTGTTTGGCCTTATGTAATTGTATGGCTTGGAGTCACTTCTCTATAAAATTTTCTGTCTGGATGATATCTAGCATAATATACACCATGCAGTGAGGATTTTAGTTCACCCGAGCTAAAAACTCAAGTAAACTTTTCTGATCATCTTTTGTTTTGTCTTTTGTCCATCAAACTGTCTATCCATCAGTGAGCTTTTCACATTTTCAACTTCTTCTCAAGAACCACTAATTTTAACAAAGGTTGACACAAAGTAAGAATATTTTAAATTGTACAGAGGAAGCCCCCACCCCACCCCCCACCCCCCTTCACCCCAAGGGGAAATGATCAATTCTTTCAGATATTATTGATATGATCATAAGACATTTTTGAGCAACTCATTATTTTGTATTCTGTAGACTTTATTTTAAGAATAATGAATATTTGTTTAAGAGTCCTTCTGTCAAGGTTTAAAGTTCAATTAAAATTATTTTGTGATACATGTATTTGAGGATTCGAGATATCAGGAGTAAAATATTTAAAAAATACTTCCAAATTACTTCGACATATCTATGGTATTCGAGATGCCAAAGTTCAACTGTATGGCTATGCTAAAGTAGTAAATATTATAACTTACTAAAACTTTCTAACATTGAAACATGTTAAATGAAACAAGACAATAATGAAAAATAAAAATTTACTGATTTCTGGCTGGTCAGTATTTTGATGACTGTAATTTCTAAAATATTCAATGAAACACTTTGAAGCTTTAACTGTAGGTATATGTTAACTAAATATACTCTAAGGTAATATTTATAAATGAGAAGTTTTGAACAAACATTACAACATGCATGTATGTAAATTGGGGGTAAAAATTTGTTACCGGTAATGGCTATTGCCTTAATTTTCAGTGACATAAAACAAGATTTAGAATGTAGGTAAATAATACTAGTATGTGTCTGTACATATGATATAGCATATACTGTGGTAGAACTTGTACTGAATGTTGATTAGCTAAATCTTGAATGGCTGATATGTTGGTCGTTTTTTATGAAATTTAAATTATATGTATGTAAACTGAGTGTACATGCAACATAAAATTATTCAGAAGGTATTAAACATGATTAAAGTATGTGTATGCAATGCAACATATGATGAATTCATATTGACTTGTAAGGATATAGCTTATCATGTATGTGCATTGTTTTTTTAGGGTCCTGTTCTGCAGATGCCATGAGATGATCTTGTCTGTCCATCTGATATCACTTGTCCTGAGTATATTTTCTCTCCTCTTAGCCCAATCTCACTCAAATTTAACTCATAGAGTGCCTGTGGATGGAGGGTAAAAGGTGACCTTGGACCAGTTATCAAGGTCAAAGGTCAGTATCAAAACACACTATATATCTTTATTTAAAGTCCTTGTCCACAGCATAATTTTTCTCCCTTGGTATGATCTGGCTTGTGTGCCATGGGATGAAGGGTTTTTAGTGATCTTTAACAAAATTTCTAGGTCAAATGTCAATAAGAAAAAAAAAGATTCATAATATCCTTGTCCAGAGCACATTTCTCTCCAATTCACTCAACTAAAAGCAGTGTATGAAATGGTCATACATGTATGAGATGGTCATATTCTGCTTTAATATTAATCTGGCTTAAAACCTTACTATGTAATGTTCATTATTCGGAGTTCATGGTCATTAAATTTAAAGACTGAAACTGATTATAATCACTGATATTGGTACATTAAAGGACATTGAGTGATCTTGTAAGATTTCTAAATAATATTCAAGCATACAATTCTTACATCAAATAATAATTTTATATGAAAATATATTGCAGATCGCAGATGATGTGAAGAAAATACAAAGGAAGCTGATGTTGAAAGAAGTATAGAGTATTTAATGAAGTTTATGAATGGACTTAGATGTGAAAGACTACTTCATTGTTTACCAAGATATATAATTTGATTTATTTTGTTATCATTTTCAAATAATGTTTTTGCACATCAAATGAATTATTAAACACATGATTTGATAATGCTTTTTCCTTTTTATACATTTTCTTGATAGATTTTGAAAAGAAAACACAGTCTACCAAGGAAATTAATAATATATATTTTGATTTAAACCTGCTGTTCTCTTTTCACATTCTAGACAAGAAAGATTTACCATGGTAAATACAGGGATCCTTGAGCTTCCAGTTGCTAGTCGATCATTTTTCGAAATTGAAATGCTCAACCTACCCTGTAGTTTCCATGGTATGGAAACTATTACACCACAATTACACATTGCTTCCCGTCTCAGAAAAATAAGGGAATCTTGAAGTTTCCCTGTCATTTCCTTTTATGAGACACCAGATAATTCCACCAAGTTTCCATCACACGGAAACCGCTACGCTCCGATTCCATGTAGTTTCCTGAGTCATGGAAACTTGAGGAATCACGAGGTTTCCTCTAGATTCCGTTCATGGGAAATCTGAGGATTCCATCGAGTTTCCATTCCATGGAAACCACTACGCTCCGATTCCACATAGTTTCCTAATTATGGAAACCAGTGGAATCTTCAGGTTTCCCATTACGGGAAACCACATGGAGGCTCAGGAAACTTCAGGTTTCCTGAGGTTTCCGTGGTTGGGGATACCTAATGGAATCGGAGCGTAGTAGTTTCCGTGGTACGGAAACTTGATGGAATAACCTGGCATCCGCTGCAGAAACCACTAGGAAACATGATGTAAACATGAGGTTTCCATGTGGTTTCCATATAGTTTCCCATGACGGGAAACTGCTTTTTTCACCCAGTGGCCTTTCAACAAAGTTGGTCTTACACAGTGTATATATGATAAAAATGCAAGTTTTATCTATTATTTCTGTGAGAATTTCATGTCTTTGGAGGATGGGTGGGTTGCTTTTACAAAATCATCTGGGTCACTTACACTCCTTCCCAGTTCCGACGATTAAAGGAAAGGATTAGCATTTCAGCGCTTACATACTGCCTTTACCCTAAGTTAAGGTGCAATATATTACGATGTCGTTTTCTATTCTGATGCCCCCCCCCCTCCCCAAGTTGATTTTAATTAAAGGTTAATTACTACAGATGAAACATGGCAAGTTATGTTGTTTGCCATGGTTTTACCAGATTAAAAAAATATTAATGTATTGAGTTAGTTATATAGACTCCCATGCATCAAACAAAATATAATAAATATAATACAGCTCTCCAAGTGTGGATTCAAAATTTAAGTTAGGATAAGAGACGACATCTTAGACAGCGTTTTGATAAGCAATTTAATTATAAAAGGGTAGAACCTTGTGACTCCAATTGAGAATGTCTTTAAAAAAAAAAAACATTTTTTAATGTTAATTAATGAGGGGATTCAGATTAGCTGTTATTTCTCGATCGGTAAATGGAGAGAGAGAGAGAGAGAGAGAGAGAGAGAGAGAGAGAGAGAGAGAGAGAGGCTGGTGCTAAGGGAAGAACAACCATGATCTTTTGAATCGTTTATTTTACAAAACGAATTACCCTGCATATTGTAAAAGAATTAAACGCAAAGCTAAGGGTCATTCTCATTTTCGTGTTAAACAAAGCAATCAATCTGACTTGAATTCTCAGGACTGTAAGAAGTGGTAGTAGGGAGGAGGGGGATAATTTTGCCAGTGTATATATTGCAATATAGAAAACAAAGCAAATGTATGATAGTCACCCCTCCATTATTTTATTGGTATATATTGTAAAAATTAGAAAACAAAGTAATTTATACGTGTCCCTTCAATAATAATAAACAAAAAGTCTGATGACATTTTATTTATTTATTCTTTTAATTTATATCTTTTTTATCATTACTATGAATATAATAACTTTTTTTGCTTTTCAAGGAATTTGGTTCGGATGTGAACCCCTCCCCCCCTTCCGGAAATTGCTTCCTACGGGCCTGTGCAACCAAAATATTATTTTGCAAATAACTTTCTTGTTTACATTAATTTGAAAAGTGATTTATTCCTTTCAAAAAGTTTATGCGGGATTTTTTTTTTAAAGAATCATATTTTTTTCAAATTTTATAGTAAACAAGTTTTGGCCTTAGACATGATCGTAAGTTCCTTTGAAAAAACGGACCCTTGGTTCTGGAAACAGTTTCTATACGTGTAGTAAAATATAAATTTATTGCTGGAGGGGATCTCGAATACAACGACTTAGGCGAGTACTTTTAAACTGGCAGATCCAGAAGTTAATGAGGAGGATTTGAGATCCCAAGGACAAGGGGGAGTAAATGGAGGGAAGACCAGACTATATTAACGATTTGATCAAAGAAATCATAACTGACAATTATCCTCCTCCTCCTTTTCATTTAATATACTTGTTTTTTTTTTCTACTTCAATAATTTTATCTAATTATAAAGCATGACAAAGCTGGTCCATGTCCTTTGTCACTGTGTTCTAAAACTTAAATGTCCTATATTATAACATAAGAATCGGGTTCGGAAGAGGGAAAGTCCAACATGTGTTTTAAACCACGTGCATTACAGATGAATTTCAAGCGTGATACTGACCAAGTTTATCGTGGAAACAAAATGACGGAAGAGATTCCTGTGATACCAAAAGTCTCGAGTTTAATCGTCCACAGTGGGAATATTGTTAACTGGAATAGATTAAAACGACACCCAAACCACGGGGCAACTGCAGAGGTATTATTTGATCAAATCTACATCTGTTTATTTGTGTTTGAGATGAAAGTAGGTCAATTTGAATAACAGGTACTTGTTCATCGTTATGTTTTGCTTAGGATTGAGATTATTTGGGGAAAATTGATGAAATGTACTTCCTGTAAGGGCAAAATATATTATTTGAGAAAAGGTTCCTTATTATGTTATGAAAAGCTGAAAATTCATTTATCACTTCTAGGCATAGTTTTACAAGTCACGTGCACTTGTTTCTGTATAAGACCCCCCCCCCCCCCCCCCCCCAATACATGCATGTATTAGCACAAGGTATGGTACTCTAAAGCATTATAGACTATGACTCTCCAGAGATTTACAGTCACTTGCACTTTCATCACACCATGAAACACTGTACTGGTCTTCAGCAGATTGCAAAAAATTTAAAAAAAAAATCAGTCTTAGCACACTAAAGAGTTCTGATTTTGTGGTATTTTTATGCATATAGTTATCTGCCTTTTGATTTAGAATAAGGGTTATAATATAAAATTTGTATAGTTTCAAGCCCTGATGACTGGTTGGTCAGTGTGATTTTGTCTATCAAATTAGTACAGTATGATCTATTGAATACATTCAGAAAGTTGAGGGGGAAAAAATCTTTCATAGTCATTGAGTTTCTGATCATTTTTAGATTGCAGAATGTATTGATGCCACACTGAAAAGTCATTTGGAAAATGCAGACAAAACTGCTCTTCAGGTGAGAAGTAACAGTGAACTGGAGAATATTGCAATATTTATAAAATTGTTCATAGTGGAAATTTAATTGGAAATACATGTATACTGTACATGTGTATAGCTTAAAATTGCAAAGTTTAATTATTTTAAGTAGACCAGAGAAAGTTATTTTCACCGGGTATTTTTTCATGTTGCTTAGCAATAATATTTACGGAGAAACCTTTCAAGTTTATCATTATACCATTGTATACTGTTATTTAAATGCAAATTCTATGTGCACGTCGCCAGGTGAATAGCATGATAGGTGGGTCCCTGAAAATATAAGAAATTAGTATTTCTTGAATGTGCATGCAGGTTGCCATTCACGTGATTGCTTGTTTGATCATCAAGTTAAATCATAACGGTCTGGCAAGTTGTGCTTGAATTAACATGTGGCATTTCATTAAAATTTTAACAAAGACCAACACCAGCAAATTAAAAAAAATTATAATAAAATATAGCACTGTTTAGCAAGTAGAAACTTGGACAGTTTACTCATATTTGATATTGCTCCTTAACGAGTGTGAGAAAGATGACAAATAGAAAGGACAATTAATCGTCATTTATCAATTTCACCAATTTCACTACTTCCCTAAAATTTCCACATTAACAGTAGGTATAAATTTAATGTTCAGTATATTTTCTGAGAATTTGAACTTTCACTTAAGTAACAGAAATGATATCAACTCTGACCATAAGATTGCTGAGAACATTTTATTAAGATTTGGTTATGTTATCTGATTTTATTCAAATTTTCTTTGTTTTTATTCTGGTAGTATGAAACCAGTCTGGAGTACAAGTGCACCAAGTTTATTGAACCACTGCCGGCAGAGGAAAGGGGTGATTTGAAGGTCACAGGTAAATAATATTCTCCAAAGATAAATACATTGTATTAATAAACTTCCTTTATTGCATTATAAATAGATGCAGATTAAACAGAGAATTGCAAAGCCAAAAAAAATTGGCAACAATAATCCCATGTTTTGAATGATGTCAATTAAGACACTAATTTTTTTTTCCAGTCAAGGTTTTCCTGTGTAAATTACTACCTCCAGCTACACTGAAAGAGGGAATAGAAAAAGGTAAGTGCATGAGTAATGTTACCTTTTCAAAAAAATAATATCCAGCAAAATCCAGTAATGGGTATGAACATTCTTAGTAAGTATGGCTTTCTGTAATGTGTGCCTGACTATGGTCCGTATAAGAAACTGGTGGTTGGGGTGGGGGTGGTTGTGGTTGGTTGGTTGATAAGTTTTATAAACCTATAGAATTTTTTTCCAGGGATATTATTATGAAAACTACTTAACATATCCACTAGACCTGCATGTTTATAAGCATACAAATTCAGGAGAAGAGGATAAAGACATAATTATCCCCTTAAAATTTTTACTAAGTCCTCTATGGATTATTTAACATATCTTAAGTGCACTTAGTTATTAAAAGCAAAACTGTGCATGTAAATTTAAAAAAAACGCACTCAGATTTTTTAAATAGTAGATATACAGGCCTTATAATAAATTTGTCCAGAGAAGAACTGTTCATTTCAACTCTTTATAAAAAAAGCAAAGCAGAACTTGCAATCACATGTACACTTAGTAATGAAAAAACACAACTTTGACCTAGAAATGTGAAAGGGGCAACAGAGCCTATACATATTGAATATAGTCATCCATATCGCTAGGCTTGTACATGTAAGCCAAAAAAAAAAAATGAATGGGAGGAGTCAGAGATTTCTTCAAGCCCTCTCTAGAATTTTATTTCAATTTCAATTTCAATTCAATTTCCATAATTATAGAAAAAAATTAAGTACATAAGTTTTACTTTTATTCAATACTTTTATTTAACTATTATTTTTTATCTTTTGAGATCTTATGCTCTCTTTCTTTCTGTCTCTCTGGTGCATCAATTCAAGTTGTTACATGTGTATGTGCTTCGATCTACAAAAGCCAAATTCAAGGGATGTATCTCTGGTAATCTTTATCTTTTAGTTCCTCTGGTCAAGTTTTTGATTTTGATGAAGGATGTTCCCATGGTTACCAAAATACAATTTTCTGTAAACTCTTCAATCCACTACATCTAAAGATCTGTTCTAATTTTAATGACACAAGAAACACAAGTATACCACGCCATCCTACATCCAATAATTAAAATTTCAATGAACAATGTTGAAGCTATTAACACAAGAAAGATGTGTAAAATTCTTTCAAAATGCAACACCTCCTTCAGTTTTGTTCTATGTTTGAAGTCCAGGTACATGTACTACTTTTCCTTTTATGTTAGTACAAAAACAGGTAGAGCTGCAGCCCTATCAGAGTCTTTTAATTGAATTTAATTGTAATTTCCTAGGAAGAAAAAAAATTGTTTGGAAAGATGTGTAGTTTTTATTTGACATATTGATACTAGTTATACATGTAGCTCTGTTTATGTTACAGTTTTGACAGAGTTGAATATCACATTCATTGAGACTGTGTTACTGGCCCTACCAGAACTGGAAGAAGAGAAGGATCTCTCCCTGTCTGTCATCCAGCCTTATTGGGAGGTCCTGGAAGAGATGGTGGAGGAGGAAAAAGTTCTCTCCCTTGGAATAGCTGACCTAAATAAGGAACAGCTAGAAGAGCTCCACAAATGGGCCAAGGTAGTGTAGTGTTGGTGCTTCTTACTTTGCATCATTTGATGATAGATTTGTTTTTGGCAAAAACTTTTTTAGAATAAGTTGTAAAACTATGATTAAAAGCATCAAGCTATAAAACAAGTTAAAAATTAGAGATAGAGATAGGTGTTCCAGTTGATCTTTGGAACTTTATTCAATTCCCTAGATATTGTATCCAACAATATACTCAGCAGTGGTACTTGTAGACCATTAATAACATATTTAAAAATTGTATAGATTTATCATTTGATTACATTAAAGCATTTATTTTAGTGCCTTTGTTTGGGTAAAAGATAAATATTGACTCCCAAAAGAAGTCTTAGATTTTTGTCAATCAGACGTATACAATATTATTAGAGTCATTATAAATATTATTTGTAACAAAAACTTGTTAATAAACTGTAAATCTACTGTGTTTTATAGAACAAAGAATATTTAATTATTAGATATGTTAGTTTTTATTTGTAAAATTACCATATTTAGACTTTGAGTACTGCTAAATATATTTAAGACTTTCAAGTGCTACCTTTCATGTATATTTTGATGTTATTTTATGTCTCTTAATTGTTCTGATTTTTGAGATGGAAAACAAACAGCACAAAGTTTTATATAACATTCATGAATTTTGACTGTAATGAGATATTACTATTCCAAAGATAAAACCAGGAATTAATCAAGTCAACCTGGAATCCTGTTGTGTAATGCCTAAGGACCTGACAGAGTATGCTAAACAGAATGATATTCAGCTTCTCAGTCACAATGATGCCAGAGGTAAGAATGTTACTTTTACTTTCATTTTTCATGGTAAAGGAGGTAAATCAAATTGAATTAATGTTTTGGAAATCTGAAGATTAGAGTTATCTTTCTTTCTCAAGAGATTTCTCTCCAATTCCCTAGTCAAAGAGAATTCATTTTCAGCTTTATTTAGTTATGTTGCAGACATGTTGACAGCAGACAAACACAGTCCAAAACCATTTTCTAACTTAATTGGTAGAGTGAATGATATATTTTTGTCCCTAATGCAGAAATACATAACTAAATATCACTTTAATTGTAGTGGAAATTTTAATTTCAAGATGCATGGTGGTGCTTATGTTAATTTTCTGTGTATTCTTCAGTATCAATGTTATACATTAAGCAGTGCCTGTATGTATGTAAATCTGCATAACTTATTGAATTGGATTAATTTTAAATTTCCTTAATACATAAAAACCCATTATCAGCTGTGATTTTCACTGTTGCAGATATACTACCAAATGAGAAACTGTGTGACATTATCAAGAAAAATACCACAGGAAAAGACAGCTTCTCATGGGAAATGTTGTGGGTACTTAGATATTCTGTGCTCATAAAATGTCGAGGAATTATTAAAACAAAGGCATACATTACAAAATGTGGTCGTGACCCAAAGAACAGAAAGTGACCTTCAACCTCTTGTCAACTTAAAATTCTATGTGAAATTGTTAAAAATTGTTCTTCCTTAAGTCAAGTCGTCATTTTTACGTGATTAGTGTTCATTTGCTTTGGAGGATGGATTAGAGTAGATCCCAACCCCTAAGTATAGTAAAATCATTCAAAGCCACTGACTCTACAATTGGGACTCTTTTTAATTTAAATAATTTTCTAAAATGTAGTTTAATCAATATGTGAACTTCACTGTGAGTATCCATGTTACCATCTTTCAGAACATGAATTTTAATTTCATGTGTAATTTAATTTGAAGTCATTATAAATTAGTTTAAAATGGAACTATAAAATTTTCCACATTAAACTTAAAATCACTGCATATATTTAAAGGGTAGAAACAGGCATATCATTAAACTGCAATTTGCTCTAAAAGTCTTCTTTTTTTTTTACATCCAGGGATCATGATTTCATTTGTATTTATTTCTGTTGCTGACATAATTGGCCAGTGGCCTTATATTTTTACTTTGCCTTTGTATGCCTTTTTACATTTTTTTAAAGTTTATTAAATTTTTAATGAAAAAATTCATGGAGGTAGAAATTTTTCAAAATTTAGCTGTGTTGATCACATTTACTGAATATTATTTTGAAAATTAAAGAAAAACAAATTAAACTTGTACAAATCATCTAACAAATGAAATGAATAGTGTTCTTCATATCAATCTGTTTATCAATCTTTTAAAATTAAAAAAAACAAACAAACAAACAAACAAAATTAACTATAGAGAATATGAAAAAAAAATTAAATCATAAAATTGAATTGAAAATGCATGTACATGATGTTTTCATTTAATTTAAACATGTTAAAATTTTTATTTTGTTGAAATATTCATTCTAGAGTAGTGTTAATTAAGCATTGGATTCCTATTTTTGGATGGCGTTGGTCCTATAACACACCTGGCTGTGCCGACAAATTGAATACCGCGGTATGTTAATATGTCAACACGGCCAGGTGTATTACAGGACCAACGACATTCAAAAAATAAGAATTCAGTGCCTATATTTACATTCTCTAATTTTCTCTTTCATAATTGTTTATTTTGTTAATCTTTATTACGCAAATGAAAATTGCGAGAAAAAAAAATGACAGATTAATTTTAAATGCACAGTTGTCGTATTTTACGTTAATCTAACAGGGTAGTTGTTTTTTTTTTAATCAATTGAGTCAAAACAATATACATTTTGGTGTTCCTACATGTAGATATTGAAAATGCATATACCATGAATACATGTAGTTCCTACTGTGTATTCTACCATGCAGTGACAAGATTTTGCGTGTTAAAGAGATTTTAACGTAGTAGATTTCTAATGGATTTCATAAAGAAAATTACACTGAATGTAAATATATAATTTTTGAAACATTGGTACATACATTGTAATAGGCATACATGTACATGTATTTAAAGAATTGAAATAATCTCATTAAAGGCCGATAAATCATGTTATGTATAATCTGTAGATTTGTAATTTAATGCACATGTACATGCACTATGTTGAATTTTTGATTTTTTAAATGTAATCACATAATGGTAATGCATATATATGTATTATAATTGTTAAAAATTTATAAATTCTGTTTGTTAAGAATGAGTAAATAAAGATTGTTCAAAATCCATCTTCAGACATGTTGCTGAATATGAAAGTAACTGGGAAGAACTAAATGACAAGGAACCAGTTTATCAAATATTTTACTCTGGAGTTTTTATGAAAATCATACAAACACAGACAATTTATATAATTGTATTGTGAAATTATTAAAATTTTAATTTTGTTCACACAGTTTGTAGCTTTTCCAATTTACAAAGTAGTTTTCCTAGTTATTTATTAAAGAAATAAAAATTGGGGGATGCAAGGAATTACTGTGACCATCAGTTCCCCATCTTACTTCATGCCCTGGTCATAACTTTATATTTGCATATTCTCTGGGTTTTTTTTCCTTTATGAACCTTCTTTTACAGTATTTTTTCTACAATTCTTAAGTTAATTGATAAGTCGAATCCGGGATAGGATAAGGGTCATTGCTACATTAATGAAATGAAAATTATTGAATATCTTGAAAATAGACATTCCTACATTTATCCTGTATATCCTTGTATATTCTTCATCTTTTCAAGATGCATTGAGTGGTAATTTGCTCAAATACCCCAGGGGTCATCCCCCATACTCTTATTTTATAATTGGTCAAATACCTTCAAAACAAACTGAGATCCTCAGTCACCCCTAGACTATATATTTTCAATACACATGAAGTCCTTCATTTCTTAAGCGAAGGAGAAAGAGAGCCATTACAATGTGAACTCTTAACTTATGAAAATGTTGCTTATGACCAGAGAGTATGCTATGACTTTTAACAAGCTCATTTGCAAAAGGTAAAGGGAATTTGGATTTATGACATTTTTATGAAGACCATAGATGTGACTATGAAAAAAAATGAAACTTGTTCTTTGCACAATGATTCCTTACAAATTTATAATCAAGAGATTTTACAGAGCCCCAACTTAGTACATAAATAAGATCACATGGGAAAAAATGTGACTGTTCTGAAAAGTACTTTTTTTTTGTAATTTTATAATTTTAAATCTTAGAAAACTGTAAAAGTAGTCACTCCAAAATCGTAAGACTCGATGTCTCAACAACTTTCTTTGTGCACCGGTACATGTTTGTTCATGAATTTTAAAATGTACATGTATATCAGGCCATCCAGCGGTGTAATATTGGATTTGAAAGCCTAGAGCAAATATTCTCAAGTTTTGCAAAATTTCGAGTTTGTAGAAATTGACCCATTTTTTAGCTCACCTGAGCTGAAAGCTCAAGTGAGCTTTTCTGATCATCTGTTGTCCGTCTAGCTGTCCGTCCGACCGTCTGTAAACTTTTCACATTTTAAACTTCTTCTCAAGAACCACTGGGTCAATTTTGACTAAAATTGGTACAAAGCATCCTTGGGTGAAGGGGAGTTTAAATTGTTAAAATGAAGGGCCAAGCCTTTGTACAAGGGGAGATAATCAAGAAAAGACACAAATAGGGTGGGGTCATTAAAAATCTTCTCAAGAACCACTGGGCCAGAAAAGCTGAAATTTACATCCTGGGGTAGTGTAGATTCTAAATTGTACAAATTATAACCCCTGAGGGTTGGGTGGGGCCACAATGGGGAATGAACGTTTTACATTGAAATATATAGGAAAAATCTTTAAAAATCTTCTTCTGACGAACCAATGTGCCAGAAAAACAGAAACTTACATGGAAGCATTCTGGGGTAGTGTAGATTCTGAATTGTTCAAATCATGACCCCCGGGGGTAGGGTGGGGCCACAATACGTATTTCAATGGGAAAATCTGGTGAAATACAGCAGGGCCAAAGTTACCCAGGTGAGCGTTGTGGCCCATGGGCCTCTTGTAGTTCCATAGCAACAGCAGCCATTCTGGATATCTGTACATATTTATGTACATTTAGTTTGAAATACAATTGTACAAACTAGTTTGACCAGATGTAATGAATAAGACTTTCATGCTCCAAAAGAATTAATTGTGCAGTTACTGAAGAAATAAGATTTAAAAAAAAATATTTTCATACTATTTATGTTTCAATGGAACCCAAATTGAAAATATAAAATGTTGAATGCATAACTAGACTCTGATATAAAAGGTGAAGATAACGAACAGTAATATTAATCAATCTCAAAAAATCCACAAACAATACAAATATGTGGAGAGGGTGTAAAACACGGACCCCTGGAAATTCCAGAGGTGGGACCAGGTTTCTAGGAGGAGTAAGCATCCCTTGTTGACCGGTCACACCCGCCGTGGTATTATGCATTGATCATGTAGACGGAACTATCCGTAGTCAATTCAGTACAAAAACTAAAGCCTAACAATTGTATTAATAAAACAAGTCGGCCAAAATACGACCCAATGATACGTTATATTTGCTAACAATGTCATTATAACGACCATAACATTTACGAAATGCTGACTTTAAAGGCTGTTGAAATCCCTGTAACATCAACTTATCAGTGAGTAGCCTGCCTCGCTTTAAAAATTGATCGTACTCAGAGCAAGCTCTTGAGTAGCGAATAATTTGGGAGACATGAACACCATAAACATGTGATAGTGGAATATTACTACATAAATAAGGAAAGTTGATGATGGAAAAACCAACTGAAAGTCATCTCGTTTGTCATACAATTTAGTTGTTAATAGGCCTTTTTGTCTACAATGATATTTTTGTAAGGTTTTATTAAAATTGTCTACTGTGAGAGCACCTATTGGAAAATTATAGAAGGGATACTTGCAACAATGTGTCACTCCTTTCCTCTCATATATAAGTACAGATATGGTGTTTTGTTGTAAAGGGAAAATTGACTGTGGAGGAAATCGCGCTTTTTAAATATTACACAGAGTAGGATCCCCCTCGCGAAAAATTGAATCTGTTGTGGAATTTCCATTAGCAAAATTCTACTGTATATCTACAGTCATTCATCCGTGAGAGATATATTTTCCGGGGGAAGTCCTAATCTAGAGCCAGATTTCCGGGGGGATGGTGGTATGCAGAGAGATGACAGAAGATAAAGTCAAAGATTGATTATGATGAGGGGTATAGATTATTACTTTATTCTAAATATGCTTGAAGTTGAAGTTCTAGAGTAGGAATTTTCAAATGCGTGTATTTTGTGAGCATGCAGAAGTAACAGAAGAAAGAGACTTCTGGTTAATTGGTTTATAACTGGAAGGGAATGACTTAATTTTTGGCCAAGTTTTCAAAGAGACAGAGCATTTTGTGTTCTCGTACAAACACCCCCTTACACTTAGACTGATCCATTCATAATGAGAATGAAGTGTGAACTATAATCATGGCTCAGACATGGTATAAGCTTCACCAGATCATGCAGACGTTACTAAATTATATCTATTGCAGCGACCTAAAGTCTGGTGTTTAACAATCACCCAACAACTTTAGAATTCAAATTGTACAATAGTCCATTAATTTAAAAAAAAAAAAATTTTTTTGGAATTTTTCATTATTGTGATAAAAATCATAAAGTTTAAAACTTAAACAGTTTTTCAAAAATAATAATAATAAAAATAAAAAAAAATCAGTGTTTGTTTTACTGAATAAACATGTAATTCCAAAACGAAAGAGACTTGTATTATTTTAGTTATTCTACATTTGAACAATCATTATCTTGTAAATAACTGAGAAAGAATGCATGCAACGTATTAAATGTAAAAAATAAAATATAAGAAAGGCAATTAGCACAATATGCATGACTGACTGATGAATAAGTTAAAGTAAACCACGAAATAAATTGATCTGGGCTAAAAAGTTCTGTAAAATTAATGTAATCTTCATGTTTGTTTGAAGTAAATAAATGGATTATTTGGATAGATGCTTCTTTAATATGGGATAATTTGAAGATCAAAGGTTAATAATTGAAGCTAGAATATGTTTAGTTAATGACCTGACAATGATTTTGCATCTGTATAAAAAGAGTTAACAGACCAGGAATTCTCACTTCTTGCTACTAATTTAGACAGTGTCGGAGATAAG